TAGTGTATTACATACATGAAATAAACTTTTTACTGATGTTAATGATTGAGATGATGAGGATGTATGGCTGAAACGAGTATAAATATCAGCTGAAATAGAGTTGAGATCAGTTCAGGCATTTCTGCCTCGCTTGAGCCAGAAATGCTTGAACTCATTTTTTTATCTTTATAGATTTTTTATTATATTTTTATTTTATCTTTTTTTATTTTATCTTTTTTTATTTTTAATTATATAGATTTATATAGAGTTATATATGTTGCCTGTGGTTTGTGTGTTTGTATGTTGTATTTTTTTATATTAGGTTGGTTCTTTAGCGGTTGCTCATACATACATACATACATCATGTTTGTCTATGTGGTAGTATTTTATCTTCTGTTTTACTCTTTTTTCTCTTTCTTCTTAAGTCTTGAGTTAAGTTAATAAAACATAGGTAGGTGAGATTAAAAATTAATTTATTATATAGGTAGGCTAGGGCATAAGGTAATTTAGTTACATAGGTAGGTTAGGGACTTCTATTCTATTACTCTTACTTGGTGGTGTGTTTCGTTTTGTGTTTTTTTTTGTTTTGTTTCATATCACACATTCAACAGGTAAGCGGTGGATCCTGGTTTTAGTAAGATTTTTATTGATTGAATGTGGTAGTATGCATGGTTATATAGAGTTATATAGAGTTATATAGAGTTATATAGAGTTATATAGAGTTATATAGAGTTATATAGAGTTATATAGAGTTATATAGAGTTATATAGAGTTATATAGAGTTATATAGAGTTATATAGAGTTATATAGAGTTATATAGAGTTATATAGAGTTATATAGAGTTATATAGAGTTATATAGAGTTATATAGAGTTATATAGAGTTATATAGAGTTATATAGAGTTATATAGAGTTATATAGAGTTATATAGAGTTATATAGAGTTATATAGAGTTATATAGAGCATAAATCCTATATAGATACCTTTCTTTGAGGTTCTTTTCTTTGCCGACCGGTTGGCTTCTTTGCGTTTCTCTATTTTCATTTAAATTAATTAAATAAATAAGATTTTTCCATTCATTTAGGTTTATTCAGGTTCATTCAGGTTCATTCATTTAGGTTGAAGCTTCCAGAGGAGTTCATCGTGGAAGATCAGAATGGTGTGATGTCACGCTACTTTCGTTCATTCAGTGGCAAACAATGCACGCCTGGCTGGGGTTCGTTTTACGGTTTTTTTGCGGTTCCTTTTTTTGCCAGTTACAGGGTGTTGCGGCTGGCGGGTTTCACCGCGGCTCGTTTTTCTACTTTCATTTAAATAAAAATAAATAAAATTTTTTCATTTTATTCATTTCATTCAGGTTGAAGTTTCCAGAGAAGTTCATCATGGAAGATGTCAGGCTACGTTCATTCATTCATTCAGTGGCAAAGACACACCGGGCTGGGATACGTTTTATTCTTTTTTCTCTGTTTTTCTCTAATTTAACATTAAGTAAGAATGCATACACGCACACACATACACACACAATTACATTAAGTAGCTATATAGGTAGGTTAGATAGGCATGATTTTAATTCTAGGTAGGATAGATAGGAAGCATCCAACACTAATGTAGTTGAATAGGTAGGCGCGTAAGTTTATCTTTTATTTTTTCTTGCACCGACATTACACGCATCAGCGTATTACACACACACAAACACATACATAAACACATATGTTAGTATTTGAGCGTAATTTTATTTCCATTACACATTCTAATTTATTTTTACTAAGGTTGAGAGTAATTTAATTTCATAGGTAGTTAAGGACAATAATGTAATTCTAGGAACAATCTTTTAATGTAAATTAAAACGCTGTAAGTGTATCGATAGGTAGGCTAATATAAGTTTTACATTATTATTATTATGTTGGAGCCCAAGGCATTACGTAGGTGGTGGGGTGGGCGCCGATTGGCTAAATGAATTGGGCTCTTGAGTTTTGTAATTTTAGGTAAGCTAGGACCGTAATGTAATGAATAGGTAAGTTAAGGCTACGTTGTAACACATACTCATTAATGGATTTAGGGTTTAAGTTTTATATTATTATTACTAAGTTGGAGCCCAAGGCATTACGTAGGTGGTGGGGTGGGTGCCGATTGGCTAAATGAATTGGGCTCTTGAGTTTTGTAATTTTAGGTAAGCTAGGGCTTAATTGTAATGAATAGGTAAGTTGAGGGTACGATACCCGATTGACTCTGGATTTCAAAGTCTCTTGTCAGAGGTAAGCCTTGGTGGCCAGTGGTGAACCGGCAATGGTTTACTATCCGGACGGCAATGGTTTACTATTTGCACGGTAATGATTTACCATGCGGCATGGCCATAGTCTACTACCCGCACGGCTTCCGGACGGCAAATGGTTTACTATCCGCACGGCAATAGTCTACTATCCGCACGGCAATGGTTTACTATCCGGTGCCCTGGCTATCGGTGAACCTCTGTGCAAGGAGGGAGAATGAAGGGGGACTTTCGACTATCGTACCATTAATAATTTAATATAGATTAGTTAAGGTAATTGAATAGGTAGATAGGATTATTTTTATTAAGCAATTTGAGATGCAGGCACCGCTAAGCTTTCTGATAAGAATCTTTCCTTTATTTTTCTTCCTCAACACGGGCTGTGTTTCAACAACAATCTCGGGAGGACTGGAGGACAACGTAGGAACCGGACCAAATTCAACATTCTGCCTTTGTCGAATGGACGACGGTAAGTTTTTTTACATTTTACTCTCTTTATTATTTTAAAATATTATTTATTTGCCATTATTTTCATTTTATAATTTTTTGCTTCTAAGATTTTAACATTCATTTACTACTACGCTAATAAAAAATTTTGTCTACAGAATGATGAGAGGTGGGCAGTGGTGGGAGTCAACACGTTTCAGATGGTGGTTTCATGATGATTTACATATAATATGATGATGGTGGTGTAGGAAGAATCAGCTCGTTGGCTGTTCGACTGACACTCTGCAGTTTGGATGACATCTTTGTGCCGACCAGATGAAGTTGGTCGGTGCAATGGAGTACAGTAACGACGATTTTTGAAGTAAGATTTAGTTTCGTTTTTTTTATTTTTTATTTTTCACCATTCATTCATTTTCTCACTCAACCTTCTAAATTATTTAATTGACTAATTGATTCATTCTATTCATTCGTTGATTTATTGATTGATTAATTAATTAATTTCATTTTATCTATCAACCAATCATTTATTCGTTTGTTCCTTCGTTCGAACATTCATTTACTACTATGTTAATAAAAAATTTTGTCAACAGAATGATGAGAGGTGGGCAGTGGTGGGTGTCAGCACGTTTCAGATGGTGGTTTCATGATGATTTTGCATATGATGATGGTGGTGTAGGAAGAATCAGCTCGTTGGCTGTTCGACTGACACTGCAGTTCGGATGACATCTTTGTGTCGACCAAATAATGGTGGTCGGTGCAATGGATTACAGTAACGACGATTTTTGAAGTAAGGTTTAGTTTCGTTTTTTTTTTAATTTTTCTCATTCATTCATTTTTTCACTCAATCTTTCAAATTATTCATCCATTAATTGATTAATTTATTCATTCTATTCATTCATTGAATCATTGATTGATTGATGAATTAATTCATTCATTCACTCAATCATTCGCTCAATCATTTATTCGTTTGTTCTTTCGTTCTAACATTCATTTACTACTAAGCCAATAAAAAAATTTGTCTACAGAATGATCAGAGGTGGGTTGTGGCGGGAGTCAGCACGTTTCATGATGGTGGTCTCATGGTAAGATAAGTTGCCTATTACTTTTTTCCAATGGCTTGTTTTTTATTTTAAGAATTAACTTTTTTTTCAATTTTGTTTTTCAGTATCCAGTCATATTCATTCCGTCGGTGCGCATCAGATGATGGTCGGTGCAATGGAGTTTCGTCCGTAGTGGGTGAAGAAGTTTCTGGAGAGTACGCGCGCGCAAATTTACACACACATCAATACAACACATACATACACAACATCCATTCATTCGGTGTCGTTGTTATGTTTCTCTTCAACTTTCTATTTTCTCTACCGGACTTAATTTAATTCATAGGTAAGTTAGGGATTGAGATGAGTTGAACAATCGTAGGTAGGCTAGGGCTTAACATTATTAAAAAGTTTCAAGTAAAATAAAAACGTTAAAATATGTAAAATAAAATACCTGAAACGTGTAAAATTTCTAAAACGTAGAAATACAAATTTGTAAGTAAGTAGATGAGTTGAGTTATTCATTATAGGTAAGCTAGGGCCCTGAGAGTAATTTAATTGTAGGTAGGTGACTGACTAATATTCTCACAACTTTTTACTATTTTTTTTGTTATGTGTTTGTTTTCGCTTCACACCAACAAAACAATTATTTTTTAAAAATTTTACCTTTTCGAACAGTCTTTTTAATAATGGCTGTTTATTTTTAAATTGTTCACTGGTTTCTAGTTATTTTTTATTTCGGTTACGTAATTTTTGAATAATTAATAATTATTTTTTGATCAGTCAATATTTCGTTATATTTGTTTGTTTAAATTCCGAGTTTTTTAAATGACATTTTTCATTTTTGAATGATATCAAATTAAATTTAAAAGCCATGTGTCTTTCTTGCCTTATTAAAGTCTCGAAATTTTTGGTAGGTATGTTCGATTGAATGTTTTTTGGCCGACCCAATTATTATACTTTGCTCATGTGGAGTTATTTTTTAAACAAAACAAATCACCTATTTTTGCTCATGCCCGTTTCACCTATTCTAATTGACTCGATTAAAAAAATTTGATTATCAGGAATTATTTGCAACTTGTTTAAAATTTATTCAAAATTTTTAAAAATTAAAAAATGAGTTCCGACGAAAAAAAAGCGATAGACGGAGTCGAAGAAATCTTTTCCGACTCCAAACCCGTCGAAAAAAATGAGAATGACATTTCGGCCGTAGAAAACAACGACCATGAAGATGATGAAGATGGCGATAAAAAGTTAAAAGCCACGGAAAAAGCAAAAACAAAAGAAAAAAAGTCTGGAGTTATCTACTTGAGTAGAGTACCAACGTGTATGAATGTCAAGCAAGTCTGTGAAATGCTCTCACAGTACGGAGCCATCGGAAGAGTTTTTCTTAAACCCGACGGTAAAATACTGAATGCATTTGTTGTATATTTATGAATGGTTGGCTAGGCAATTTCCATTTAATTTAATTTGATTATGATTAATCCATGATGTATGAATGCATGTTTTTTAATTAAATTATTAAATTTTAAATTACTACCCAGCAAGAGTAAAATACAACAAAAAAAATCGTGTCTTTGAAGAAGGTTGGATTGAATTTGAAAGAAAAAAAGTGGCCAAACTAGTTGCATTCACACTAAACAACAAACCGATCGGTGGCAAAAGAAGAAGCCCCTGGTTCCATGAACTCTGGAATTTGAAGTATTTGAAGGGGTTCAAGTGGACCCACCTGAATGAAAAGTTGACATATGAAAGAGCGGTTAGGAAGCAGAAATTAAAACTTGAAATTTCAAAGTAAGTATTTTTGATTTATTCAGTAAGTTTCTCATTCATCCAGGACATAATATTTAGCAATTTAATATATGACTAAGCAGGTCTATTTATTATTCATTCATGAATAGCTTGCTATAAACATTCTAAATGGACAAATTATAAAAAAATGTTTAATGTCACACAGAGCGAAGAAAGAAACAGATAAGTTTGCTGCCAAGGTAGAAAAACAAAGAAAATCTAAAAAGCCCAAAGATAGTATAGAAGATACCCCAACGGAGGACAAAAATGTCAATCAATCGATAATAAACAAGCAGCCCCAAGTTCGAAATGAATCAGTGATGATGACAACAAAGAAAAACCCGCAAATAAAAGCATTTGACAAGACATTCTTATCAAATATATTTTCCGGTGGCTTAAAATAAAAAGCTTGATTAAAATTTTGTAGTCTGTTGTTTGTTTGTTTTTTATTGTTGAAAAAAATTTAAATTTGTGTTTGTAATAAATAATGATAAACGTTAAAACGGTATAACATTTTATCATCAGAGCCAAAAAACAAACGAGCATGTATATATATATATATATATATATATATATATATATATATATATATATATATATATATATATATGATAGGATTCGGATCATTTGAGATGGACAGCATAACAAAGCAACCAAAATAAAAACATTAACAAGAGGTTCTTCGTTAGAGTATATAACCAAATGAATCATTACATAATACGTCAATTTGTCCCAATCACGTTAACAAATTAATCAATTAATTACTATTAAAATTGGTATCAATTGTAATTGCTATGTGATAAGTTGATTGGTTACACTCTGAACTTTGACCTCAACCTTTCTTCTTTCTGTTTGCCAAGATGTGGGGAAGCATCATCCATCATTTTGCTGATTTCTGTGGGTTTGATTGTATGTGTGTGTGTGTTTATGTATGTTTATAGTTTTATTAAAAATGGGTTATAATAATTCAGCCAATACTATTTATCAAAAACGTCGGAATTTCCATGGCCAAATTACAAATTTCCAAGCTCACTACATGAATCTGGTAAAAAAAAACTACCAGCTTAATTCATTCTACCAGAACCACATTCCAAGAAATCGAACTATAGCAATACATAATGATATCTATTCTGTCAATTCAAGGTATTATATATCAAAAAACGAATCAACATAACGTGTAGAAACGAATATAATAATCAACGTTATTTCACCTTTCTTTTCATCGTGACTCAGGAACAAGACATTAACATCAAACCTTTCAACTAATGTTAAATTCATTAGGAAGTCCATAGCTTTTTCTGTCTGACCTATTTTAAGATTGACACATACTATAATTACCATAATTTAATCACAGTTTCATCACATTACAATAATTTAGCCGCAGCTACGTTAAGATAATTAAATCTTAGGCCCCATTAACATAAATTATTCAAAGCTCCACCCTCCGACCAACCAGAATTGAGATAATGCCGGATACACCTGACAATTGCAATGAAGATATCGCCATCAAGCTTGTTTGACAAGACTGTTGGTAGAGTAAACCATTATTATTATCATTAATAATATTAACAATAATAAAAATAATAATTATTATAATTAAAATAATAATTATTATAATTATTATTATTATCATCATCATCTTTAATCACCTCTCTTTAGATGCGACGGCTGCACATTGTCCAGTAGTCCAATGAGTGCGTCCAGCTCGCCTAATCAATAATAATAATAATAATAATAATGACAATAATAATAATAACAATAACTACTACTACTACTACTACTACATACCATTAACCCTGATGGCATTGAAGGATTGCATGAATTCATACGGTGTTATCTTCTTAGTCGCAGTAGCATCATTATCATTTTTATTATTAATATTATTATTATTACCATTAATAGTAGTATTAGTAATATTATTATTATTGTTTTTTTTATTATTATTATTATTTTTATTGGCCTCAGGCTTGATAGAAGT